CTATATAAAAGTATACAATTAGATGAATATGTTTCAAAACGAAATGATATATTTAATTGTTGATAAAAATTTGATAAATTAAATGATATAAATGATGATGATGTAAGAAATTGTATAGGATTTATTAATGATTTACAATTTAAATTATATATTAAACCATATTCATATATATTTATTAATGATTGATTAAAATCAATTGTTAAATTTTCATTAAATATAATTGATATATCTTTTAAACATCCATAAAATTTTTCTTGATTTAAATCATTATTTCCTCCAATAAGTATTTGTGTAAAATTAAATAAATAATTTATTTTAATATCATTTTCAAAATCTAAATAATATTGATCAATAAGTATTGTTATTTGTCCATATTTACGTTTTATTTGTACATAATGCCATTGATTATCAATTAAATAAAGATTTTTAGTTGATGATTCATACCATGAATTATTAAAACGATATTCAATAAATAATTGTCCTTGTTTTAATTTAATATATATATGAGAATCAATTAATTGAAATAAAAGACCATCATAATGATTTGTTTTAAATTCAAATGTTATTAATTCACTTACACTTGATATTAAATTAATAAAATCATATTTTAAATATTGTTTACCATGAAATGTTAATTCATTTGTTTGTCGTTCATATTGACAATTACTTCCTTGATAATATGTTTCATCACAAAGACATTTATAACTTGTATCATTGATTAAACATATACCTATACCACATATTGTTGATGAACAATGTTGATTTGGAATTAATGAAACACCATCAGATATATCAATTGGAACAGGTTTAATAAGATGAGGATTAGTACAATTTTTATAAATTAAATTTCGTAATTGACCACGAAAACGAGGTTGCATATAAACATCAAATGAAGATAAATTTCCTGAACTTGGTCGTTCTAATATTGATGGAATACCTGAAGAAAATCATTTTTTGAAAATACGTTTTTATGTCTTTTCTATTTTCTTCATATAAAAAAAAAAAAAACGTGAAAACGCTTCAAGAGGCAACTCTTTTTCTTTTAACATCTGGAAACTATCGAAAAACGTTTTCTCATAATATGTTGACATATACGGCACATAAAAAAAAAAAAGAAAAAAGTTCTTTTTGTCTGCAAAGCCGGTCAAAATAGAATTTTCTTTTGCATGCTTTCCAGATACAAAAGTTGCCTTGTTAAGAATCTTCATGCATCTTTTATGAAGAAAGTACAATAGACATGAAAATGGAAACTCTAATTAAAGCGCTTAAGTGTATTATCAAAAATTCTTATCTGATATTATCGGTAATACAATCTATCTATTAAACAGTACTTTGATTGTATGTTAATAAATATCGTTATTGATTCTTTATAGAAATAAGATGCTATAGACACAACTGCATGAGATTAAATTCAAATAAAAGAAAAAATTTGTTTTTTTTTTTATTACCTAAAAGTAGTATGAAAATTTTACTAATTATTTTACTAAAGTGAAAGTTTAATACAAACTTAAAATTATTATTCGTTAAAATGACTAAGTTTTCTATATTTCATCTATTCAAAAATGGATATCTCTTGTCAACATGATTTAAATATCATGCCGTTAGATAAGTGTTGATAGAAAAAAAAAAACTGTCATTACCTCCAAAATAAAATGGTGATGCTTGATATTCATTATATATAGCACCACCAAAATATAAATCTTCTGAATGTGTTATTGTTGAATTTTGTACTAATCCATTATCAATACTAAGAATTGTTGTTTGTCCATTACGTTTAATTAATATTGTATGCCATTTATCATCATTTATTTTCATATTAACATTTAAAGCTTGTCGATCATTTCCCAAATTAAATAAAAGACGTAATTTACCTTGAATTAATTTTAAATAAAAAAAATCAAATTTTCCACGATCATCAATATATGCAAGTGTACCATCATGAATATTTGTTCGTATATCAAAACGAACATAACCTGTTAAACATGGATGCCAAGAATCAAATGCTATATAACTATTTGATTTAGCTGAAAAAATGTATGTATTTGATAATAAAAATGAATATGTTCTATTAATAAGAAATAAATAAATAAAAATAAATAAAAACATTATATTAAAAATGATATTATCATTATAATGATCTAAAATAAAAAAGAAACTACGTACATTAACTTCAAGATGATGTATGTGTGTGTGTTAGATTGAAAAGTCATTTTTGATATTTCAAAGAAAAAAAAGAAACATTTATTCAACTAAAAACTAATTCTATCCTTCTTTTTATTACACACCTGATTTATTGTTATTATATGTTCATACTATTGAGTGATCGTGATTATATGGATGATCAAACGATCAGGAGAGAAATGAGGGAGAAAATTTCTCTCGATACTACGACTAGTTGCAACAGTACGCGCTAGCACGAATGATTACGTACAATGCAAGCAATTGATTTCTTCTCTCATTTTTTCTTCTTCTTCTTCATCTTCTCTCGTCATTGATTCTTTGGCATGTGGTGCCACAAAAAACATTGTACGTATAATATCGTTATATAGAAACAGGAGCCAAGACAAAAGAATTTTTTTTTGGGGTTGTAGCAAAAAGAAAAACTGGTAATAAACGAAGATAGACAGATAGTGATGATAGATGAGAAGTATGAGAGAATGATGTGTTGAGTTGAAGGTATCAAGATATCAAGATAATTGTCAAGAGAAGTAGTTTGCTGCATAAGAAAGAAGTAATTTATTCCTATAGAAAGGATTTGTAAATTGAATCAACACAAGTAGCAAATGGCGTGGTTGATTGACCATCGTTTTTTTTCTCTCCTATGTCGAAGTTTCTTGTCAATGTTGTTTCTAACTCGAGTACGGTAATAATAATAATAATGATGATGATGATGTTATTTCTATGTATGTCAATGTTAGAAGAATAATTAAAGTTCAAATGAATTGTAGACAAATATGTGCTGGACCGCCCGTCAAGTTTCATCATATCACATGCTTTGTAAATAAACACGTCGACTACATAATAGAGTAAGATGTCGATGCTCAATATATCAAGTCAATTGTATGCAGACAAACTAAACCAGACTCATTAATGTGTACAATCAATACAAGCACAAATGTCTTTTTTTTTTTTTTTGATATAATGAAAAATGAACAATACAATTATATGATTGTGTAAAAAAAAGAATTTTTCTAATAACGATTCATTAGTTAAAATATGCACGCTATGAATTTGTTAAACATATATATTTCCCAATAGAAAGTTCTTATTTCTTCTTGTTTGAACATAAGTAATTATATATATATAATGTACTATGATATTAAGTTGAATACTCAAATGACAGATATTATTTTTTGTCTTTATTTTATATAAATTATAATTTATTTGAAATGATTGTTTTTCAAACATATAGAAATGAAAATAAACATGAATCGATTATATATCTATACTAAGTACTTATCAAATCATCAGCTATATACTTTTAACCCTGAGAATAGCTGTTACACATTATGTATGACTTGTCTTAGATACTATCCTAAAGGTGTAGAGTCATTAGTTGTTATTCATGCGTTCATTTGAATAAGTAATAAGATATAAGAACATTTTTTTTTTGCTTTATCTTCTTTTTGATTCATTCTAATCGATTATGATGAATGGGAAATAGCGTTGATGACTCACGGCAACTCAAAAGAAGATAAATAACCTTGACAATAGTACTTTGTCAAGAAGCTAACAATAGTAAAAAAAAAAACGAAAGAATTGGCAACTAACTACAAAATTTGATCACATTAGAAATAAACAAATACTATGACTTACACTACTAGTTGACAATGATAAATGAAGAATTTAATGACATATGTTATTTACTAACAAAAGAAGAAAGAATTTTAAACAACAGACAATATGCTTGAGAATATATATATAAGTCGATTTATTCATCTAATGATACTTAGATTTTTTTTTTTTTCATTAATAAAAAAGTATGTTGTTTATTATTTGAAAATAATCATTTACACATTTAGATGACATTCGCTCGAAGAAAATATAAATATAAATTGAATCTTATATATCAGATAATTTACTTTCTATCATAGTTGAAGTGTAAAAGCTTGAAGATATTAAAATCTGATTGTTATTCACTATGTCATTAGTTTTTTTTTTTCGAAATATTTCTGTGCTAATGAGAAGAATGACAATAGAAGAGAATAAAAAAGAAACAACTTCTTTTTTTACAAGAAATCGAACTTGGTATCTTCTGCTTACCAGATAAATCTACAAGGATAATACTAGAAACGGAAATTTTTCTATACATCGTTTCTCATAATTAAAACTCAGAATAGCAATATATTCTAATGATATAATTTTTGTTGACATTAATTGCAATAACAAATAATTTTGATGTTGATATATTTCCTTGTCTATTTTAACATTGTTATCTTTTTGTACTATATTTATCTCGAATGTAGATTTTATATTATCTTTTCATGATTGAATTTCATAAAACATACTGTTATACATTCAATTGTATGTTTTGCATTGATTAAAAAAAAAGTGTTTACGAACAGTAACAAATGGTATAATTCATTTTTTGATTTAAATATATTATATGAGAAAAAAAAACAACAAACACATAAATTTTGAGATCGAAATACGAATACTTTCATGCTTTTCTATTGAGTAGAAGGTCATATCAAACAAAAACAAATTGTACTACTTTATAACTGTTGATAAGATATGTCTAATGAATTCTACAGTTGCATATCTACAGAAGGGCGGAAAAGTATTAGACTTATTAGAACAATTCTGTTACTGGTAGTAGTAATTCGATAGCTTCGACTAGAACAACATAACATTGGTTTCATAGTATCTTTTCTCAATTGTAGAATAATTCATAAAAGATAAAATAATTTAATAAATAACATCAATAATTACTATTTATTTTCTATATCTATGATTATCATTACATATATAAAAAAAAAAACACCAAATTTTACAAAATTTTAATTATTTTCAATTGTAGGTGATGAAATTGATTCAACTAAAATATTATTATCATCATCATCATCATGTGATGATGATGTTGTCCAATATTGATGCATACGTTTTTGAAAATTTTCAAGATAAATACGTTGTTGTTCAATAAATTGCATTGTACTATTTGATATATCATAAATTAAATCACAGAAACTTTTCATTATTATAACACGTTTCATTAATAAATTTGGAATATTTGATATTTGATTTATAATCGACTGAAATTAATAAAAAAAGAAACAAGAAATAAAATTTCAAATAGTAAAAATATAAATCATAAATTTTTTATTATTTACGAATTATTTACTTTAGAATAAAACTAAGAGTTCGAAAAATTTTCGATTCTGACATTACAATTTGACATACATCTTTATCAATTTTATGTCTTACACATACTGATATATCTATTATATAGTTATATAGATTTTGACATATATCAATTAATATTTTCTACGAAAAAAAAAACGAGATGTTATTTCAACTTCTTGTTTTTAATAATAATAATAACAGAATAACCTTTCAGATATCAATTTCAAGAATATTCTATTGATAAATTTGTTTTTAGTTTTTTTTTATTAATATATGTCAAGATATCTAGTTTCATAGATAGAAAGAATAATTAATGTTGATAATATTGAAGAATATAATTTGATAAGATTATGTTATGTATATATATACACGTCAGTATAAAAATTAATTATAAACTATACTATAGTAGAAAATTCTATAAGATAAAAAAAATACCTCTTTCTTTCGCATATAATATTTTGCTATACATTTAGCTAATTCTACAACTGTTTGTAAATCTTCAATTTGTGAAGCTAGAGTAATACCTAAAAATAATATTAAATTCTATTGAAATAGAATAAAACATTTTGTCTTTTTTACCATAATGAAGATCTTTACATATACCCGGTCGAAGTATATATGAATAAATAATTGTATTTTGTTCTTTTATTTGATCAAATATAATTTGTGATTGAAAATGATGTAAACGATTTATTGAATCATTATCAATATCACTATGAATTTTATCATTATAAATAATATCAAAATGATAATTAGCAAGATTTCGATATATATAACCAATAGATGTTAATTGTTGTAAATGTGTTGCTAGAATAACAAATGATTCTGAACGACATAATGTTTCAGTTATACTTGTAGCTAAAGCAAGACCTTAACAAAACAAAATTTTATTTTTGTTATTTTATTTTTCTATACCTTCATTTGTTGATGTACTTGAACAAATCTAAAAATCAGATGAAAAAATATTTTCTTTTTTTTGGATTCAATAAAATTGAATATTTTTCTCTCGAATAGAGCTATGCTTCGTAATTATTATACTACAAAATTGACGTTTTCTTATCAGCGAAATTTAATCAATATTGAAACTCTTTAACACGACCATAAAAAAGCAAATCTCTTGAAAATTCACAATATAGAAAAATTGTCTGGTATTTACTTCATCGAGAATAATCATTGAATTTGATGTCATACAATTAAGAATAAATGCAATATGATTGATTTCAGATGAAAATGTTGATTGTCCCATAAATAAATTATCATGTTGACGAATTTTTGAAAAAATTTCATTGACCTAAAAAAATTTTTTTTTGTAAATTTTATATTGAATAAAAAAAAGAATCATCAATTCTATTTACAATACGAAATCGAGCTTGTTCAGCAGGTACAAAACAACCTTTAAATATATAAATAATTTTCAAATAAATATTTTCTTATTTATTTTTTTTACCAATTTGAGCTAATATTTGTAATAATGCTATTTGTCGTAAATATGTTGATTTTCCACTCATATTTGGTCCCGTAATAAGAATAACATTCATTTCTTTACATAATTCAATATCATTAGGAATTGGTTTTTGTTGACCAAATAAATCAATTATTGGATGACGTGCTTTAATTATTTTTGTATTTGATCCAAATATAGGTCGAATATAATCACGTGCTTTTGATACTTCAGCAAATGATTGAATCATATCAATAATTGATATTGCTTCAACAAGTTTATACATACAACCAAAATGTGGTCGAATTTTTCCAAGAAGAATTAAAATAATTCTAAAATATATTGAAATTTATTTGTTAGAATCATATCGTAAAAAGAATATGAAAGCATTATTTATCTTACTGATCTGTTAGAAGACATATATCATTATATAAAAGTTCAAATCGATCAGATAAATGAGCTAATTGAAGTGTTGTAATAAATGTTGATTTTTGTCTTTTAGCTACTGATACAACATTCGTTGGTAAAATACCTTTAAATTCACCAATAATTTCCAATGAAAAACCACGTGTATTTGTTAAATTATATCGAACAGGCATATTAAATCTTTCAGAAAATTCTTTTTCCAATGCTGTTAAAAAAAAAAAGAAAACTTAATAAAATAAATTCATGAAATAAACTTACATTCAACATCATCAATAACAACAATAACATCAGCACGAAGACTATCAAGACGTTCATCAAAACCACTCTGAAAATATACAACAAGTTCACAGTAAATCTAATAGATTATATTTTCTAACTAATAACATATGAAAAATATTTTGGTCGATTTGTCGATTTAACCATCTAAAAATGAAGTATATTTATCTAAGACAATCAATATATATAAAATATTTCTGAATTAATATTTAACACAAAAACAAAATTTTCAATCTTTTTTTTTTTTTATATCACAAATGAATATTATCATTAATTTCGTTTAAGTTTTCGACGTTCTTCAGTAAAAAAATCAAAAATTGCATCAATTGCTGTATATGATGTCCATTCATGTACTCTATGACCTAAAAATTACAAAAAAAATGTTTTAATATTTTCTTCTTTTTATTTTGATTTACCTGCAGATCGTATTTGAGAACAATCATCTTCTCCTAAATCAGTATCTACTTCTTCTGTATCAACAACCCAATTAATTGTTCTCTAAAAAAAAAAATTCTTTTCATTCTTCTAGTTTTATATTAAAAAAAAAAAAAAACTTTTATAAAACCTGTTTAAGCATTTTTAAAACATTTTTCTTAACTCGTCGTCCATAAACTGTCATAGGTGAATCTGTTAATGCAACAGCAAAAACTCTTTTATCAAATTCTTTTAGAAAACGATGAGCCTAGACAATAAAACAAAGATATCAAAAAGAAATTGAAGAAAAAAAAAAATATTCATCAAACCATTTCAAGTACTACAGCACCGCCATATGAATGTGCCATAATACAAATATATTTAGCATGACTCGGATGAATAAAATGTTCCCATACATAACATCCATGTTCTTCAGCACTGGCACTACCCTAAAAAATTCAAAAAAAAAAAAGAAACTTAATAAACAATTATATTATAATTGTTTAATAATAATTTATATGTTTATTTATTATAAAAATGCACTATATGAATATAAATTTTCTTCATAGATGTAAATCGAACTAAAACATGCTTGTTTTCTTTTAGAATTTTTCAATAATAAAATTTATATTACGAAATATTTAGTTCAAATATACAAAAATAAAAACGTACACGAATAGAACATATTGCTGAACGACGAAGCAATCGAGGAGATTCAAAACTATTCAAATTAGTATTAGTAACAATAATAGCATAACCAGCGGCTCGAGCTCGTTGAATATATTCCAGTTGAGAACCAACTTCTAAACCTTCATTGATTATTAATCTAATAGAAAGTAAAATACCAAAAAAAACCACTCAATGAAGCAATGTATTACTTGCGAGACCATTGACCAGCTCGTACGACTCCTGTACCATGAATAATTACCATCAGATAATCAGCAGTTGATAAATCATTACTTATAAAAATAAAACTTGTATGTTCACCTTTTTTTGCATCAACCTTTAAAAATTTCTTTCAATAATTTTAATTTTTTTTCTGTTAATCAATGAACGTACTGGTACTATAACACGTTGTAATTGACATGTATTCTCAAGTAATTCATATACAGCATTATCAATTAATTTACCAATTGATTCATATCGTTTTTGATTTTCTTCTTGATCGGAAAACACATCGAATTTAAATGGTTTACCGGTTTCAATTGAGACCAATTTGCCTTCTATTTAAACAAACAAATACAACTATCGTAACAACAAGTATAATTATTCGAGATATATTTCTAATAATTTAAAGAATGAAAAAGCACACTATAAAGCATTGAGAACATAAAACTCAATAAAAAAAAAATGTGTATACTTATTCTAAATATACGAGTCTCACTATAATCTAATCGTTATATCGAATCTATGTTGTTGTAGAAAAAAGAAAATTTATTGCAAACTAATTTTATTTTTTTCTATCAAATAATTATCTTAAATATTAAGAAAATTTCTAATAGCATCCTTTTTAAAATGATTGCTGAAAATTGATAAAATTTAGTATTACTTTTAAAATGATATCCATATTTTTCTAATGAATCATATTCTATATGAGTTTGTTGAATATTATTTTTTTCAATTCGACGACGTTTTGAATTTTGTATTGGTTCTAAAAACAAAATTTTAATTCATAAACAAACAAAAACCAAAGTTGATAATCAATATTGACCCTCATCAATTTTTGATTTTGTTTTCATTTTATTCTCTAAAATTCAATACAATGTATAATTTTACATAAAACAAAATGTAACACACTTTCAACACTGTTGTTATTACGAGTTGATGCTATGAAAAATAAACAAAAATTTGTTTTATTTTCAACATTCTATGATTTTTAAATATTACACACCAGTTTGTCTAGTTGACATATCGACTTTTTTTTTCTTGTAATATGCCTAAAAACATAAACATGCTTAGTTTATATATATCTACCTGCACCGTCATTATTTTTATTTTAAAATAAATCATAGCTGTAATATATTTAGATATACAAGATTACAATTACATCCATCAATTTTCTCATTAATTGTATACAAAAAAAAAAGATATCTCTTTAAAATCAAAATAAAAAAAAAGAAAAAAGTCAATTCTCATTTAGTAGTGCCACTTAATATTTCATTAATTTGTGCTTCAAGTTCTTCAGCAGTAACATTTTCAAGTTCATCAGCTAATCCTTTATCCCATTCACTTTCATCTAAATCTAAAAAAACAAAAAAAATACTTATATAAAAAATTAATAGATAATTATTCACCTGAATTACTATGTTTTGTTTTATTTAAATTTTTTTTTGCTACAGTTAATTCTTCAATTTCACGTCGAATATCATCCATAGTTAAAGCTGATGTATCATAATCTTCACTGACAAATTCTTGATTAATATCAGATGTTTTTTCTTGTGATTCAGATGTTCGATGTGTTAAAACTAGAAAACAAAAAAAAACAATCAACCTATAGTTTTACTCTCATGTAAAACTATGAAACATTGAATAATAAAATTTATCTAATCAAATGAATAATATACAACTCAACTACAACTTGAATTATGTTATTAAAGAAAAATCTAATATTATTTAAAATATAAATTAGTCGTGACTTATGTACGTCAATTAGTACACTACTGGATCTATACACAGAGTAAAAGCTTCATAATTTAATAAGCAAAGATCGGCAAACGAAACCGAAATAGATTGCTTCATTACTCATTAAGATAGTTAAAAATAGAGTCATGCACGGGTACTACTTTTCGCACCCGGACCCGGCCCGGCTCATTTTTTTCAAACCCGGAATCCGACCGGACCCGGTCATCTTCCACCCGGAACCGAACCGGACCCGGATAGCTCTACCCGGTACCCGACCGGACCCGGCCCAGCCTTGAAATAGTCAGCACTTGATTGTTATTGTCAAAATTATATTCACTTTTCAAACTTTTATTTCATATGGCAAAATATACTATTATTTTAATTTCATCAAGTAACAATTTGTACCCGGACCACAGTTCCGGGTCCGATCGGGTGCCGGGCATCCGGCCCCGTTGCAGGACTCTATCCTAGAGTGTAAAATACTTTTACTTGTTAAGATGTCATCGACTACCGGTCGGGTACCGGGTATGCTCAAATCCTGCACCCGACCCGGCATTTTTTTTTATACCCGGCACCCGAACCGACCCGGCAAATTTGTACCCGGACCACAGTTTCGGGTCCGGTCGGGTGCCGGGTACCCGACCCCGTTGCAGGACTCTAGTTAAAAATCACTTTGACAATTAGGAACATTTCTTCGCCAGTATGAAATTAGAAATTAACAAAAAACAAAAAAAAAATTATTTTTTGTTTTTTTTTTGACTTACTCGACTTATTTGATGAATTATGTGTTTCATTGTTTGATGGAGTATTTGCTAAAATGATACAACAATAAAATAAAATTAATAGATAATAATTTACCATTTTCACTTGTTAAAGCTGTTAATTGAGTCGATTGTTTTATTAAACTTACACGATAGAAATAATTACGCCAGAATGATTCTTCATTAATTCTAAATATAAAATTTATTTGTTTTTTTTTTTTTACAGAGATTTTTAAGAACATTAAAAAAAAACATTCGTACTGTTTTGGTACAAGAGCAAAACGCATTTGATTTAAATTTTCATCAACTTCAAGAATAGCTAATGCAACAGGATAAATAGCTGTCATATCAAAATGATAATTAGCTCCAGGTGGTGGACTACGAAGAAAATTACGTTTTTCCTAAACAAACAAAAAATTATCGATAACTAAATAGTACTGATCAAGTCATCAACGGTTCATTCATATAAACTCGTGATTTTTTTGAAAAAAAGAAAAGTTTAATAACAGTTCTTTTTTTTTTTTTACATTCAATAAAATGGAAAATATGTATTAAATTTTTATGTTTGATTTAATTGAAAGTAAAATGTAGAACAATGATATTTATTAATCAATTAATAATAAACTAACTTGTGAAAGAGCTAAAATTTGTTTTTTCATTTCTTCTTCTTGTTCATAACCAATCCATGGAAGTACAGCTGTTTCTTCATGTCTTTGTTTAATATTTTTATCTATTAAAAATTTTTCTTGTTCTTTTGTAAAATTACCAATTATAGTTTTTTCTTCTACAACTTGTTTTAATTGTTGAGCACTTTTAAGTACAGTAGAACCAAGATCATTAAGAATACCTATATAAATAAAGAAAAATTTACAAAAAGTATAAGAGACAAAAAAAAACATTATTTAAAAAACGGGAATAACATATACTAGTGAAATCTTTATTTGTTTTTATTGTTTCAGATGTTTGTTGTTCATTTTCATTAGATGTTAAAAATCGTTCTTGAATTGATTTTTGAACAAATGTATTAGCAGCAGTGCCTACTTTCGATGTTGTTTGAATAATTGTTGAACTTAAATTTGATAATTGATTAGTTAAATTTGTTGGTAAACTAAAATTACTAAACCATGATGATGATTTTTGTTCTTGAACAGATGATGATAATTCACTCATTCTTTATCTAAAAAATATGTTCCTAAATTCATTTTTATTACGCATAACGAACAGAAAAAACAAATCAAAGTTAGAACCCGTTTGAGTACGTCAAGTGGATTGGTCTGTAATCTATACCAACCTTAGACTAGCGAGTTGCTACAATATTCCCTCTATGGATAGTAATATGTGACATAGAAAGTTTCATCACACATTCTCTATGAGCTAATAAAATGAAAAAAAAACTTAAATAAAACATATTAGCAATGATAGGCCTATCCTCTCATATCGTGTTTCTGAATAAGATATTAATAAGTCGTCATTATCATAATAATTGGACATTTTCTTATTGCACATAAATTCTGTCAACTCTATAGACTTGTCCTTGATCGTATAATGATACTTGAACACAACCGATTTCTTAACATGCTAATTCAGTCAATATACCGATTATGTTACTTCAATCATGCGAACATAAGCAAAAAAAAAATCTTGATGCTTGATACTAGCGGCGTAACCAGAGTTTTGGCGATGGTAGGGCTCAGCAACGCTTAAATATCCGGTGGTAGGGCTCAGGTTACTGAGGCCTGTGGGGTGGTAGGGCTTGTGAAAGGATTCAGCTGACGGTGCTAACACCGGTGGTAGGGCTGAGCCTCCCTGGCCCTACCTTGGTTACGCCACTACTTGATACATGAATATTTGGACCTTGTATATGAAAATGAATTTTATAAGCTTTTGATATTTTATAATCGAGTGCAGTCGCTTCTCTTATCAAAACAAAAAAATAAAAAGGTTTTTTTCCTTATAAGTAAAATATAAAAGATAAAGATGAAGATATTACTCATGAAAGAAGTGAACTAATTCTCTTCATATATGCATTCATTATTCATGCACTAATCTGATATAAAACATTCGACATTTACTAATATTCTTTTTATGAATAGATAGATAAGTTTGACAACAAATATGCTTTATTCTCTTGTATTCCATTGGTTTATTTTTAAGCAAATTACAAGTTAGTAAAAAATATTTTCTTTAATTATTTAATCTATTTTTTGTCTAAATAAATTTTAAAATAATAAAATCCAAAAAAAATTATTATTTTTTTTTTTTATGTAAGAAAAATTTTACAAAACAAAAAAACAAAACTCTAAAGTAAACAATAACAAAAACAATACGAAGAAAAGAACAGAACGTTTGTTTTTTTTTCGCTCTTTTACTATTCAATTATTTCATTCGTAAGTCATGACGTCGTCACGAATGCTTATCATTTGTTTTACAGGTACTAATTAATCTAAAAGCATACATTTTTTTTTCATTTCTCTCAAACAATGATTTTTTTTTGACCGATTCTAAATCTAGATGAAAATTTCTTCAAATATTAATCCTTTAGCTCTTCTCCAGATCGACAATACTATTAAATAGTGAAAAATAAATTGAATAATAATGTAGTTTTTAATTTGTTTTTCTTTATAATATAAATTATGTATTAAAACTACATAATATAAGTTTAATACTTGAGTTATGACAAATTTTAATAGTTTTATCACGTAGACTAAGCTCGATAAACTATTGAGTTAATATCAAAAAAATGTATTTCAGAATGCGCTATAGGCGCGTTATTTTCTTTTGACTTCTAATTTGCAAACAGTAGGCAATATTTTATGAACTACGTGTGATGCATCTAATTATTACTTTGAAATTAGTAGAGATAATAGTTATGTCTAATCAAGTAATAAGATATTTCAGTCTATTAAACAATATAATACAAAAGAAGCAACTTATTTGAATACTATTATAATCATTGTTGTATAAGATATGACCATGATATATTATAAAGATGATCTATTTTCATAAAAATCATCATCACACATCAAGAATCTATAATGATAATATTATGTTGTGTTTTTTTCCTTTTATTAATGAGCAAGTTTCTATTTATTCATTGAATGTCATATTTAGTATTAAGAGAAATGTATATTTAGATAGGTTTTAAATACAAGTTAAAAGTAAAAACAAAAAAAATAATATTCTGTACTAGATATAGAATGCATTAGATAGAGAACTGTATTGAATGTCTAAAATCACTATCTTTGATTTTATCGAACTGTGAAACATTATAGAAATAAAAAGGATGCTGACATTGGTAATTCATAAAAATACTTGTTCAAGATTTTGATGTAGATTCTTTGTTTTTTTATTATTATCTAGTATCAAATATAATATTTAATCTAAATGCGCAATATATTGGCACACCAGATATAACAACTAATATTACAGCTGTATTAAAACATTCACTTGAATTAAAATGTGAATATAAAGGTGTGGATGGTAATGGTCAATTTGTTGGATGGTATAAAGATGGTGTAGCTGTAAGTACTGAAAAGCCCGGTCATTATGCGGTTATACACAATGAAACACATTCAATTCTTACAATAAGAATTTTCGGTAAAAAAAAAAAAAAGAATTTTTTTTTCAAAAACAAAAAAAAATAAATTTCTATTTTTTTAAGTAAAATCTGATTCAGATGTTAAAGTTTGGCAAGTTAAAACAAACAAAATGGATAATGAAGAACCAAGTCAATGTCGATTTGGTCCAATATTACGTATAATACAATTTATTCATAATAGTAATAATGTAGTTTTAATGTGACTTGTTTTTTTTTAATTAGTTAAACCATCACCACAAGGTATAGAAACAAATCGACCTAATGAAAAAATTGATTCTACTCATGGATCAATACGTCGTAGTGAAGATAAATCAGTTCATTTAAAATGTATTATTGAACCTAAACAAGATAATCCAAATGATATTAATATTCAATGGAAATTTAGTAAAGATGGTCATTCATTTTCTAGTTTACCGTCAGGAATTAATATAATAGATAATCAATTAATCATTGAAAAAGTTAAAAAAAATCATAATGGTTATTATCATTGTTCACTCAATGATGTTTCATTTACAGTTTTATTACGTGTTAAAGGTTAGTTTATTTAAGTGAATCGATATCTCGTATCTTTATTTTGTACAAAAAATTGAGTGACATTTTTTTCTCGAACTAAAATGATCGAAAAAATATTAATTTTTAACATTCGAAAAGAAGAGAAGTGTTGTATTCTTAATTGTTTTTGTTTTATTAGATCGATTAGCAGCACTTTGGCCATTTATTGGTATTGTAAGTGTTGTTCTTGTTCTTGTAATTATTATCTTAATTTTTGAAAAACGTCAAAAATCAAACAAGAAAAATTCTTCAGATGATGATGAACAAGATCAAGCAAATGATCCGTAAGTTTAGATTTTATTCATATCAATTGAATTGTTTTGTTTTTTTTTTTCTTTAGACTTGTACGAACAACAACAAATATGTCAGAAAATGATAATAAAAAACGTGCAGCTAATGCATAAATATTCATATCCCAATAGACTTATTTTTCCTGTAGTCTTTGCCGCATATAGCTATTCATGTTACATACTCGATTTAGCATTCTGTCAAGTTGTATATATACATATATATTCGAACAGTTACTTGCAACAATGTATTTTTCTTTTCTCTTTCGCAAATCTTTAGCTTGTGTATGTGTTTACGAAAAAATAAATTCCATATTGAATTAAGATAAAATGTAATCATTTATCTTTTTAATAGTATAAAAAAAATAGCATACTACAGTCATTTAAAATTGTAACGCTGATACATATTATTTGCGTTTTTTTTTTGTCACTTTATTCCATGTATGTCTTGTGTTTTTTTCTTTTTTTGTTCTTCTTATTCATATTATAATAGAGAAATGAAAATAATTCAGTATTTTTTTTTTCTTTTTCATGATTAAAATCAAGCCAAAGAAAATTCAAATTGAAAAATAATTCTGAAATCAACTTTCAAGTGTATTGAAGGGGTGGGTGTGGGTATGAGCGTGAATCTTCACTTTAGCCATATCCACACTCAAATCTTGGTTATTGTTAATAATCAATCAAAAATTTGAATCAAAGTCAATTTTTGAAACGTTTATTGATAAATATGTCCTTATTTTTTTTCATAACTTGAAAAAGAATAGTTTTTCTAAACAAGTCGTATTGATATGAAACGATTTTCTCAACAAAAACACGATGTACTATTTTGTAAATGTCTATATTATATCTTCCGAAATAAATGATATTTAATATTGAAATTCTCTTAAATCATATCGAATAAAATTTCTTTTGAAAATAATGAACTTTGATAAGGTTTCTTTTTTCAAGAAAAAACTCTTCTTAACTATGTTTTATTTATTCATGAATTTCGATTCATTAGAGTATGGATTACCGATTGATTTATGAAAAAATTGTTAGAGATTTCCTCCAATGTAGATTTCATTTTTACCGCGATCAGCGTCTCTTGAGATTATGACAATATATCAAAAGGAAACTTCACCCGATGTCTACATTGCTATGTTTGTCATAAGTCTTGAAGATTCTTCTTTCAGTCGACAGAACGCATTTGAACGGATATCATTGATATTCACCACAGTGTAAAATAGCTTAGACCTAGTCATTTCGATTTTTGCATTCACATTAGACTATTTTAAAATATTGGTTTTTCTCATAAAAATCAGATAAAAAATAAATCAAGCTTTTTTTTTCTAAATATTTCTTTGGTAGTGTAAATATTTTTGAGGTTCATGTTCAAATGAAAATTATACTGAAAATTATCAATCTTTGTATCATCTAAAAGAAATATTTTCAGCATGACATAACATGCAAAAAAATTTTTTTTAGAACAGTTGTGTTCTATTAACTATCATAATTAGACTTCTCGGATAAACATGCACTGGAATGTCTCATTGAAAAAGGATGAGTTTCTCTTTATGCTTCTTTGTTATCACCCTTCGTCTTCTCTGTCGGTGAGTGTTTTATTGATGTTGTGTGCATTCCTTCCCCTAGAGTGCTTGTTTGATAAGAACTTTAAAAAAAAGGAGGCAAACACAAACAGCAATGGGGAAGATAAAGGTTTACTACGTTGGAAAAGTAAGATATGAATCATTCGAAAAAAAAACAAGCAAACAGATTCTATCAACTGTAACACATTATTCAAATCACGAAGAACAACGTGGATTTAATAACTTAATAGTAGTGAGTAACTTATTAAGTAGAATCAAAATGCAAAAGAAATCATGTTGAATGTTACAAATTTAGCGGCAAAGAATTGAGAATATTGGAAGCCATTGAGATGAGTTAATATTGACAACGATGGTCAACCCTATTGAAGTTGATCGATTTGTCAATGTATATCAGTTACCAGTCGCATCCATTCATTATTTCGTAGCTTTCTCGTCTCTATTTGACCTTTTCACTCATCTCAATTCTATGATGTTGTCTATCTCTCTTTTTCTCCCACTCTAGTTATCAATTTCAGTTTTTAAAGAAATAAAACACCAGGGTGTAAGGGTGAAATGGAGGTTGATCTCCTCCAAAGTCACGGTGACATCCGTACCGAACTTGCTCAGGAAAGAGGTGTAGCGATACTGTCACACAAAAGGGTGAGGCAGAGAACAGTCGCGTATAGCCAGAGATGTTGGGCAAACTCATCGTGGAGAATACCAGAGCGTTTGCTTGCACAGATTCGTTTTACTCATACCTCGTTAACAGGAATACCTTTTCGAGCCGCTGGTCCATTTCCGCTGGTAATGTTTCTCATAAGGACATTCCTTTTCTTTCGTGAATGTTCGAAAGAAAGTGCACACGTATTTCATACTAATTAGACAAAGTTTTGAAGACCTACGATTTCATTGTTTCAAATTATCAAGATGACCATAGCTAGTCTATCTTCTGGTAGTTCTTTTACCTACGGCGATGACGACCATCTTGAAATATTCAGTCTTATCTGGCTTGACACAAACGTTCACCAAGAAGGGAATCAAGATATACAACAAAAACTGCGTCCTATCATCAATCATCTCAAGAAGTTTCAAGATGGAGAAGAATGTAAAAAATACATACAGCAAAGACCAAAACATGATCGACTAGTACTCATTGTTAGTAGTGAGTTGGGTCGACAAATGGTACCTTCCATTCATAAACTTCGACAAGTGTCAGCAATCTATGTTTATACCACAGACACGAAAAGTGATGAACAATGGGTAAACGAGTTCGTCAAGGTAGAGTTGTTTTGAAAAGTTTCAGTTGTGTCATTCGGTCTGTTTAGGTGAAAGTCATTGTTGCTGAACCGGACAAGCTAATTTCTCAAATCAAAGCAGATCATAAGAAACAGATGAAGATGGAAGAACCATTGTCGATCAACATGTTTACTACCAGTGGTGATGCAGGGAAGTCTACGACAGGAATCAATGGTCAATTCGTTTTTTCTCAATTACTTATTGATTGTCTTCTTCGATTGAAACCAAACGAGAAGGACAGAAAAGAGCTCATTTCTTTTTTGTGAGAACGAATACAAAGACAACCATGTCGAACTCAAGAAGCTGCATGAATTTGAAAATCATTACACATCTGATCAGGCGTTGTGGTGGTACACTTGTGACACATTCTTCTACAAAACTCTGAATGGTGCTCTACGCAAGCAAGATATTCATATGGTTTTTTTGTATCGCTCCAGTATTGTCGACATTTATCATCAGTTGCAGCATCATCAATCTCAGCATTCTATTCGAGTTTATCGAAGTCAGTTAATGTCAATTGATGAGCTAAACTATCTTAGACAGAACGTTGGGCAGTTCGTTTCTGTAAATTCGTTTCTTTCGACCACTAAGGAGCGTGAAGTAGCTGATGCCTATATCGGCGATAAGACCCAAAAGATCGATTTAGAACGAGTTCTATTCAAGATTGATGCTGATCCCAAGATGGCTTCCACGAAACCATTTGCTGACGAATCCGAGGTACTCTGTATGCTTGGTTCTATTTTCCGTCTCAACTCTATAGCTCAAGATGACGATCAAATATGGATAATAAAAATGTCCTTGTGTGGTGATAACGAACACAATTTGAAAGACATTCTTGAACACATGAAGAGACAAAATGTCACCGAAGAGACAAGTTTGTGGACACTGGCTAGATTGTTACGAACGATGGGTAAACTTTATCTGGCTGAACAGTATTACCTTCGTTTGCTACAAGAACTTTCCCCAAGTGATCCTTCACTTCGTAGTTTGTATGTCGAGCTCGCTGACATCGCTTCGATACAAGGTGGCTTCGACAAGAGCGTGCAGTGGCACAAAATGTCACTTGAAATCCAAGAGCAAACTGCAAAGCCTAACAGCTCTAAAAAAGGTAAGACAATCACATGTATTTGTAGAATTCATGAACGGTAATTAATCACTACTCAGCAACAAGTTAATATGAAAAGCAATATTTTCTGAAATGACATTCAGATGTTTCTCAGTTTTTACCTGAAGCATTTACGTTCGTCATCAACTATTTGGTTTTGGAAAAAATCTTAGTTTTGTTCAGTAGAGTCTAAAACCAAGCTACGTAACAGCACCGATATTTGCAAAGGAACTTGCTTGTATGTCTAGTGAGTTTTCTAGAAAATCCTGATAGTTTGATTCCTATTTAAAAAAAAATTTCAATCGTATTCTCACCCTCAAGTGATTGTAAATTCTTTTCTGCTAGGTATTTAATAAGGGATGCCTCGTGGATGCACTAACGATGGAAAACTAAAAATCATAGAAGTAGTGTTGTCAGGTGGAGAGAAGAAAGAATTGCCTTTAAAGACATTTTTTCCTTGTCAAAAGCGTTTAAAACAATCGGTTGAATGGACACTAATGGATTTCTTCACTACTAAACAATAAAAATGGACGTATTGGAACTTTCCGACTGCACTTTAAGTATTCTAGGATGTTGAAATGTTTTGATCCAATTTCAAAGTTGAACACATTGTCTGGAGAATGATTCGTTTTTACAAAAGCTTTTTTGAAAAATGGAAAAGTCACGAAAACATGAGAATTTCGAATTTTCTACCATTTTAAAAAAAGAATATTCAAAATTGTGAACCTTGACGAAACTGTTATGTTTTCAAACAACATTATGCCATAAACAGAAGGCTTTCGCTCACTATGAGCTCAGATATTGACATCGACAGTTCCTCGTATGTGTTTTTGACATTTAGATACATCGCATGAATTTATTCAAATAGCCGACAAAGATCTTCAAATGCATGAATAGATTGAGTGCGAGTGTCGGTGTGAGTATGGGTGCGGATAGGATGTGGGTGTCTGTAGTGTGTGGTTGTGGGTGTGGATGTGAGCGTGATGGTGTGGATGCGGATCAAATCAACACTCGTACCCACACCCACCCACACCCCACCCACACCCACCCACACTCACACCCACACCCACACCCACACCCCACACCCACATCCACACCCACACCCATACCCATACCCATACCCACACCCCACACCCACGCCCACACCCACACCCACACCCCTGAATACAAATGAATATTGGTCCTCTCTGTGTTCTCGTGCATATTCACATTCATGTCTAAAACTATAGGATAAAATGGTGATGCTATTCACTTATGTTGATGGAGGAAAGGTTATAAATTTATTCATAAGAATATGTGATTCATAAACCAAAAGTAAACATGTTTTTTGTCGAGAAATTCTCCAGAACTTTTCTAAATTTTTCTTTCAGAAAAGAGTCAGCGAATCCGTATGTTGAGCGTTATCTTGTTTCAATATTAGATGGCATATTAGTCAATATGATGCATCATTAAATGTTAACGATAGAAAGAAATTTTTCAAAAAGCAAAATAGGAGCATTGTTTAGCAACTGCCTTTTATTCTATATTAAAACCAAACAAATAATATACACGCATTAATGTTTCAAAAATTTCCGAAAAACTATCAGAATAGTAGTTCTTGTAAAACAAAAACAAATCAGTTTTATTAACATTTTCTTGTTACCTAACAAAGAAATGATTTTGTCAAATTAAAGAGATCAATAAACTTTGCATAGTTATCAAACAACAAGAATGACTTTAAGTAATATCTGGGTTATACATTAGATTGTAAAAACAGTACAAATTCAAAACAATATATGATTGGTAGGCTAGGATAAATAAGTATGTTTGATTTCTTCAATAACTTCGTCAGTTTTGCTTCGATGGAACCAAAACTTTGTTTTTTTTTTATTAGAATTGCCGTTCTATGCTCGTCTAAAAGTATCAACTTTCAAAAGCAAAAATCATTTGTTCGAGTTTGAAAACTTCCGCGGCAATATATAAAAAATGTTGAGTCACCCATTTCTTTTAGTTTTTCGAAAAAGACTGATTTTAGTTCAAGTTTTTTTTTCGTTTGAAGAAAATGCTTGTAATTCCGCGAAAAAATGATCTGCTTTTCAAAAATTTCTTTTTCTTTATTTCAAAGCTAGGAGTCTTTACTATCGCATGGATATGCCTCTGAAGTACTAGTATATTGTGTATAGCCTCATGTCACAGAAGAACATGAATAGTGTCATTTAATGGTACTTTAAAAAACACTAGTTTTATTCTGGCGATTGTTAATCAAGGGGTATTTCTTTTGCAGTGTGTCGGAAAGAGCACAACTCAAAATACTGAAACATGAGTAGACTGTACAAGAGGACATCGTTTCAGCTGTCCAAAACACCATAGGAAACTCCAATAATGTGTCTTGGAAATTTGATACTTTTAGACGTCTTGAGTTTTTGATCTATTTGTTTGTCATAGTTCGCTCTAGAAAAACTGTTTATATAGAGTTTTTAGAGCATCGAATGGCAATTCTAATGAAAAAAAATTGCCTAGATCGAATCAAACTGACCAAGTTGTTGAAAAAATACAAAATATTGGTGTATTCTGAGTCACTCGTTATTCTGGATTATTGAGTCAATCTTTTATATAAATTGAATGGTAGATTATTCCGGAGTTATCTACAGCTGCTCTCCAGGCCGTTGTTGAGATCTTCGCTCGGCTTCTTGCTTCATCATTGCTTGTTGAATATGAGTTGGTACACCTGGATTGAGACTCAAAGCATAAGGTAACAGTGTTTTGGGTATGTCTCCAAAATCGACCATAATTTTAATGAACATTGTGTCATCTCGTACATAAGGATTTGCCTCCTGTTGAATCATTTCCAATGGAAAAAATTTTGGTATACCACTGGCTATATTCATATCTGATCGAGGTCGTTGAAAACTACTTGATCGAATGTCTGGTCGAAATGAATCAATAATATGTCGTTGTGCCGGCGTCTGGTCGTATAAACAGAAGGTGACTTTATAGTTGAACGGAAATTTGAGAATCGGATCGTTCACACTTCGCATAAGCACAAAAAAGAGTGACATATGTGTACGACGTGCATTTCCATCACCATTTAAATAAAGGCGAGCTCTCATTTTATAGCCGGTTGAAGATGAATAAAATGAAGGTGAATAAATAGATGTTTGTCTTTCAGACTGTGCATCAACTAGAAATTAAGCAAAAAAATAATTCTGTGAACAAGAACAGAAGGAAGTGTAAAGAAATTTAAAGGATCGATCTCATTTACAGTTCATCATACATTGATTCGAGAGTAATTATATACTAAGTTGGATAGAATGTTCGATTGTATATGTATTATTTGTCGATGTTATAGGAACCGAATAACATCGTATTATTGGATTATCTGATTGAAAGAATATTCGGCTTTTATGACTCATAATAAGGGTAATTGTTCAACTTACTCATTTTTTCTTGAAAGTTTGTAATTTTCCAAACCAAAGTTCCATCATATGAAGCATATTGCAAATCATTGACTTTTTCCTGCACTGATGCTAAATCTTGATTGAGAACGTCTTGATTATGTTTCACTCCTTCTAGAAAACCATTTGATTCTTCAATCGATAATTTAACTTTTGATAATTCTTCTGTTAATGTTGGAATTGTTACTTGAATTTGAAGTGATTCATTGCTTAGACGTTCTTGGTCATTATTCAATGTTTCAATACCACTTGACAAGATGTTGAGCATTTCATAAAGCTCTTGTAATTCAGCTGTGCCTGGATTACTAGTTTCTGTAGTTGTTGCTTGAGAAAAATCATTATCCATATGTCTACCATTTAATTGCGATAACATTTGACGAACAACTTTCAGTATAGCATGTTGATGCTGTTCAGTTATATAATGATCTTCCAGTTCGGCACGAATAATCTCAAAAAAAAGAATTTTTAGATTTCAATTTCATCTAAAAAACATCCATACTTGTTCATTACAACCAAAGTCTTTCAATATACAATCGACAATCAGTTTCTCACATTCGGAGATTTTATGTTCATTGTATTTGTTAACTGAGTTAAATTCTTTCCCACAATATTCGCATTTTGAATTTGAATGATGTTCATCTAGATGTTCCTTTGAAAGAAAAACATAGAATATTAATAAATAAATTTAATCTAAAATAAATTACTTGATAATTATTTAAGATACCAGTCCATTGGCAAGAGGAACACTCAATAGGTATTGATTTCATATCATTTTTGAAGCCTCGATCAAGTAGTATCTACATAAATCAAATTTATTTTCTCTTTAACTATGAAGAGATATATTACCTCGCTTCGTGATGTTTCAGATTGACATTGTCGACATTTAATTGTTATTCTTTAAAAAGAATAATGAAGAATAAAACTACAAATTGATAATAAAACTTACTCATGTTGAGCATCGAAACATGATTGACACTGTCGATGGCCACATTCACTTAATTGTACAGGATCCCGTAGTATCAATGAGCACACAGAACAAATATACTTTGTATCAAGACTATGTTTATTTTTTGCATCGATGCCTATCATTATTTTAGTTAATATAAAACGAATGTTCAATGTTACTTAGAAATGAAATCAATTCCTCTTTATTTATGTGTTTTTTTTATCGTTTTGTCTGTAGATTAATATACAAATAGAAGAAAGTTTTGGAAACTGTCAAAAGGAATGAGACTAGCTTGCTTTTTTAACAAGTGAACAGATACAAATAATGCTTTGAAACGAAAAGATACAAAGAACAATATATCTAGAATTCAAAAAATTAGTATTAAAATACAATAAAGATTCAATTCTTCAAAATGATAAGTGCCTACACTGTAAAAAAAAAGGTATTTTACGAAACCAAAAAAGGATCTTCATCTGGGTACACGGTAAGATCCTTTTTTGGTTTCGTAAAAAGAAGATTTCGTATGAAACTTCTGCTAAATACATGGGGAAAATGGTTTCGTACAGAAGATTCAGTACGAAACTTTTACCAAGAAAAGGTCAAAAGGTTTCGCACTAAAGGTTTCGTACCAAACCTTTACAGAATAATATCAAAAAAGTTTCGTACACAATGATTTGCACTAAACCTTGTTCTAATGGTTCAGCTAGTCAGAAATTTCATATAAACATCTAGTACTGCCATGGTATGGATAACATGTTGAATATTTCTCAAAATATGACTATCGTATATATATATATCAACGCAATCGAATGTAAATGAAGATAGACTATCGAGTAATTTTGCATAATCTAAAAAATTACTCGATAGTCTATCTTCACTTACATTCGATTGAGTTGATATATATACGATTGTCATATTTTGAGAAATATTCAACATGTTATCCATACCATGACCAGTTCCAGATAATTAAATACCCACCGATGAGTTTCATATTCGAATCAAACTATAATCTAGAAATAAATAAATATATGTATTATTATCTTGTCCGGAAAGTTTGTGCAACTTGTATACTATGATATCTTAGCTTAACAAGTACTACATCTAATCAATGTAATGACCTTCACTAACAGCCACACGTAGCTCGTTGGAAACGTGAAATCGCCAGCGAAGGTTATTACACTGAATAAATGTAGTATTTGTTAATCTAAGATTTCATAGTATACGAGTTCCACGAACTTTCCGGACAAGATAATATATAAGATCGAACTTACCTCATTATTTTCGTAGTTGGATCAGCCTATAAGGAAAAAAAGAAATTTCATTAAGTTCTATATGATTGAACTTACCTAAAATTCCATGCATGGATCGATCTAGAATAAACAAATATAGAAATTAATCAAATTCAATAAGATAAAACTTATCCAAAGTTCCATGTATAGAACAACCTAAAACCAAAATATAGAGATTCATTTGTTTTTCATAAAGGCAAACTCACTTAAAATATCATATACGAATCAACCAATTAACAAAACACGGTTATTTGATTCTATAAGATAAACGACACCCAATACATGATTTGTGCAATAGGCATTGATCGGGAATAAATAAAAAAAAAAATTATTAATCTCGATAATATCGGACTCACCTAAAAATTCATTCATTGATGAAGTATAACGAAAAAATAAGCAGGCTCATTTTGTTTGATATAAGCTCAACATACATGAAAAAAACATATGGTTGAAACTCATAAAAAAAGTAAAGACGTTTGTCTAATGTTATCAGTTATCACTCACTCAACATTCCAAACGGAAAACTCTTAGGCTCACTATATAGAGCACGATATGTTCTCTGTACTTACACATTCCATTTTTTAGGGTTTCGCAGAAAACCTTACAATGGGTTTTTGGAAAAATTAGAAGGTATTATAAAAAAGGAACTTTGTAAATAATAGTTATACTGAGTATGCGGGGCACGATATGTTCTCTGTCCTTACACATTCCGTTTTTCCAAGGTTTCGTACAAAATCTCACAATGGGCTTTTGGAAAAATTAGAAGGTATTATAAAAAAGAAACTCTGTAAATAATAGTTATACGGAGTATGTGAGGCGCGACATGTTCTCTGTCCTTACACATTCCGTTTTTCCAAGGTTTCGTACAAAATCTCACGATGGGCTTTTGGAAAAATTAGAAGGTATTATAAAAAAGAAACTTTGTAAATAATAGTTTTACTGAGTATGTGGGGCACGACATGTTCTCTGTCCTTACACATTCCGCTTTTCTATAGTTTCGTACAGAACCTCAAAAGGGATTTTCGAAAGAATATAAAAATTTCAGCAAAAATCTCACTTTTCCCTTCGAATAAAGGTAGGCCATATGAAATAAAACGTGTTTGTGTGTTTGTCCGTCGCAGATCAAAGATTAAATTTGAAACCCATGAACGATCGTCGAGGCTGATTCTATTCTATAGAAATATTCATAGCTCCGAAGGTTCTATTCTGTGGGTGGGTAATCACAGGTCCACGAGTCCTATCTTATGTAAATATTCCGAGGTCCACAAGTCCTATTTCATATGAGTGCCCATAAGCTCTCAAAGCTAATTCTATGGGGTTACCCGCAGCTTCTCAAGTTCTATCCTATAGAGGGACTCATAAGTCCACAAATCCTATTCTACTGGGAGTACTCAGAAGTCTACAAGTCCTATTCTAGTAAGGTGTCCATAAGTCCTCAAGGTTTACTCTATATGGAAGTAAACAATACCTCGTTTTACGTTGGTTCGCAAGGAGTGTAGACAGGTGCCGTTTTGGTACATTAGCCGTTTACGACCGACTTTGACGGGTGTTATGTACACTAACTGTAATATTTTGGGAGGCATCGTTTACAGTTGTTGTAAAGATCTGGTGGAAACAATCACTCTTATTCGCCATAATTAGGTGGCTAACAGTCGTGTACAGCCATGTATGATTGACCTGGGTATTGGCCATCTACTCAATGCTGGCCTTCAATAATACAGATGGCCTACCTATTGCTGGTCTTTATACATAATAATCATTTACTGCATGGTGACCCTCATTAATTTAGAAGACCTAATCGATGATTCTCCTTATAGATATCCATCAAGTACTCAATGTTAATGCTTAATATTATAAATGATAGGATACAAGTGAAAATATCGGGTGAAGGAATAAATACATATGTTTTGGAAAATTTTAGTATATAAAGCGTTGGTTGGGTGAAGCTAAAATTTGTGGATGTAGGCGAATGATTAGTGCGGATGAAGCGAAGAATCAAAACCACACTCACATGTATACCCTTACTCACACCCACACCGACTCACACCGACACCCATACCTACATCCAAAATGTATTTTTCTTATTTCGTTGAGTGCTAAACATTGTTAATTTATTTCTCGAGACTCGGCTAGTTAGAATATTGGATTTGATAAATAAACTTCACATTATCTGTATAATCACTTCGTTGTGCCATCCATTGATCTTTTTCTGTGGTTTATGCATTATGTATTTGTACGGGCAGTACTTGAATATTTCCTTCTTATGCCTCCAATTTTCGTTAATAAGCTTTGCTGCATTTTGTTGTACTGTTGTGTCAATGAGTGTTCTCTAGTAAAGTATTATAGCAAACATCGAAACGTTCCTAGCCAAACAAATAAATAAGAAATTTTCGATAGTTTTCATTATTGCATATGCTTTCAAGCGAAGCAGAGCGACCCTGTCATCGCTTATTAGACTTTGAACAGTTTCTATGCGAGAACTGATAAAACTTAAGGTATTTTGCGAGACTATCATTGATGTCGCACAATAAAAGGGAGCGTTTAGCGAACTAATGAAACCATGACCGGCTCTCTAGAACATCAAAACGTTTTGTATTTGTTATGCGAAACTTCTGATCATTTTGTAAGTCTTATGTAATGGTTTCATATACATTGTGCGAAATCAACAATCATTCCGTATATACAATACGAAGCCTCCGTTATTTCCGTAAGTGGTAAAATAGTTCCCTATAGATTGTACGGAACTATTGATGGTTTCACAACCTTTATTACGGTTCTGTATACAATATACGAAACCATTGATAGTTCCGTAGAATATATAAAGGTTCTCTACATAGAACACGGAACCATCCTTAATTCCGCAAGTAGTAAAGTGGTTCCGGATAAATTGTACGAAACTATTGATGGTTTCGTATACATTATATGAAACCATTGCTAGTTTCGTAAAGCATCTAAAGGTTCCGTATGCGTGACACGAAACCATCGATACTTTCGTGAATGATGCAATGGTTCGGCATATCTTTTACGGAACCATGCATAGTTTCGTATATGCTGCAAAGGCTCTGGAGACATTTTACAAAACCATTGACAGTTTCTAAACTCATATAATAGTTTCGTATGCCTTATACGAAACCATCCAGAGTTTCGTTATTTATCTGAAGGTTCTGTATATATGACACGAAACCATTTGTATTTTCGTAGAGCATCTAAAGGTTTCGTATTAGTTTTAGGAAGCCATTCATTGTTGCATAAGTGCTCTAATTGTTCCGGAAATGTTGTACGAAACTAGTCACGGTTTCGTAAAAGATATACCAAACCATTATATCATTGAGGAAACTATAAACAATTTCGTATAGTGCATTCTGAACCTTTTTTGATGTTTTACGAAACTTTCGATAGGTTCGTATAAGGTATACGGAACCTTTGTCTGTTCCACGAAACTATCAGTGGTTTCGCAAAACATCAAAAGGTTCAGTATACACTGTACGAAACTATTCATAGCTTGGTAAACGATGTAATGGTTCAGTATATTTTTTACGAAACCACAGCTAGTTTCGCATACAGCTTCCGGAACTATTAGAGCACTTACGGAACTATGAATGGTTTCGTAGAACTAGTACGGAACCTTTACCTACTCTACTAAACTATCAATGGTTTCGTACCAAAGATACGAAACCATCGAAAGTTCAGTACAAAATGAACGGAACTTCTGGAGGATTTCGTAGTGAAACTTCGAAACCCTTTGCAAATTTCCGAACTTAAAAAGGTTCCGTATCAAACTTACGAAACCATTTCCATGCCACGGAACTTAAAATAGTTTCGTAAAACTGTACGAAACCTCTAAAGTTTGGTAA